AATTGGTCACCTCCGTCTCACCCCAAAACTGTTTTTCGGCTAAAAACTATTAATTTGTTTAGTGAACCACTGACCTGAGCTTGAACCATTGACTTAGACAATGATTTTGGCCGCTTTTTTTTTATAATTTTTTGTCAGAATGGTCTGTTTGAACTGAACACATGATTGAACTGTTCAACTGGGGAACTGGTCTCCATAACAGTTCCCTGTCCGGTCCAGTTTTAAAAACCTTGTCATTTACAAATTGCAATCCTATGTACGTAATATAGTTATAATTAACACATGTGCATATGTACATGTAAATTTACCAACACAACCTCAACTTACAAAATCCTTTTTATGCACATCATATATACTATCACAGGAGGGATATTCCAACTCTTTCTCTCACTTGGGCATCTTTAGTATAATATAGTTTATCCTTCTTCTTTGATCTTTGGTAAGCAAATTTGCTTTTTAATGTGCAAAGTTTATTAATGTCTATGAAAAGAAATCAAGATCCATGGATTGGTCAACTTATCACAGTCATATTTTGGGGAGTCTTCAACTCAATTCCTGTTTCACCAAGCGTGGTATTTGGCACATGGATTTGCATTGGTGATTATAAATACTGCTCTATTCAAATAATTCCTTCTTCCCCTCTCATACTGTGCTTATCCTTGCATCAGCAAAATGCTTAATAAAAGCAATTAAATATAATGGTATGTGATTAGTCAACTTATATAAGTCATGCTTTGGTGGGTAGCTGCTGCTAGAACCTGGTTTTTCCAACCATGCCAGTGTGCTTATATCAGAAATTTCAGTTGTATTTGTTTTTCCATTAGAAAATCAAAATTTGAAGATAAGTATTCAAATATACTCAAGACTTCCAAAATTTTGCAACCCCAACACAACCCCATTTTCTAAAAGGAGAAAGAAGAAACTCAAAACTAAAGGGGCTGTTTGAGTATTGCTGATATGGCTGAACTAAATGATTTATAGATTTGTTATTTATGGGATCTTAGAAAGAATAAAATTGATAGATTCTAGCATTTGGCATTTTTTTTGTTACAAAGTGAATGCTTTTAGACTTGAACCCATATTCTCAGGCTTTACAGAACGAGATTTTATCATTACACCAAGCAATGGTCCCCATTTAAATAATAAATTATTAGGTGAATTGCAGATTATTACCTTGTTGTACTTTAGGGGTAGTGGCAATTGCCTCCTGAATTTTTATTTGCAACAAAGAACCCCTAAATTTTTAGATTCTGACAAAGACCCCCTCTTTGTTAACTTGAATGATGGAAGAAGTTAAGTTACCAAAATACCCATTCAAGAAACTTCTATAAAATAGGAATTGCAACAAAAAAATATCCAAGAACTTTATGAAAACAGGTCTTTCAGATTTTGAGAAAAGACTCCCTCTCTTTTAAGTTGAATGACGAAAGAAGTTAATTTATTAAAATGCCCACTCAAGAAATCTCTGTATGTCTTGGCTCAGTTCGGCTAAAATATTATTAGTGAGCTCAATTCAAACTCTATTTCCTAATTTGAGCTCGATTTTATTAAATATTTGATATGAGCTTGAGGTGGACTCTAAAGAACGAAAATAGATATGCTTTTATATTACATATATATGATATATTTTTAAAATATATAATAATATATTCTTATATCTATCTATACTACTTTAAAAAGTATGAATGACCTCAAAAATATTTCTGGAATTTTTTAAAGATAATATTTAACCCTCTATGTTTAACTTTAATGATAAAAAATTGAGAGCAAATAGGGTAATTGGTTCTTGAAATTAAATGAGTTGAAGAGAGGTAATTTAAAGATGTTCAATACATTCAATCCCCTCTCATTAAATCCAATATTTAAGTTATTAATTTGCATACATGCTCATTGAATCATATATTTAAGTCATTTTTATTTCTTCTCATCATTAAGTCTATTAATTAAATCTATACTTAATAAATTAATAATTCCAATAACATAAAAGCTTATACTTTTAAAACCTACCTAGGAAAAATAGTATTTTCATCTAAGTGGTGGTAAGAAATTAAATCATTTTGGGTCAAATGGGTTAATCCATGTTGCCACAATTAAATAATAAAATTAAAAAAATTGAGAACATTTTTAACATACATATTAAACAATAATAAGTGATGGAGGGTGATTTGACCCGACCCCTTGAGACGGTGACACGTGGACATGACTCAGCACAAGTAACAGCTCAGCACCACAACCTGACTGCGACTAAGTAATGAGCCTGCAGGACAGCTCGCTACGTCATAGCTCGCTATAGGGTGAGCTCACTACAGCGCGAGCTTGAGGACCCCTGAGGTACTGAAAGGGAATACTCCAAGACAAGTCTTTCCCAACTCGCGAGCTAGGATAACCAGCTCGCTCCAATACTTAGGCAGAAAAATTGCTCCAAAGGCAACCTTAAGAGGAATCACCTCGAAGTACCCCTAGGAGCTCGCTAGAAGGCAGCTCGCCACCAGGGTAGCTCACTACTAAACGACGCGATGTTTTCTGGAAGCTTCTATCTGACAAGACCGTACCCGTTAGACTGCGCCACGTCTCTTGACTGACGGCGCAGTCCCTGCCAACCCAACAGATTGCACCCACGTCTCTCGATAGATGGTGGCGTGTCTGTCCTCCCGGGACGTGTCACTCCTCTGATTGGGTAGTACTCTACAACGGTTACCTGCGCAGCCCTGGCAGATAACGGCTGCGACAGAGGCCCAATGGCGGTTACGCCCGATTTGACAAGAATGCCCATATTTAAGAGCCCCTTGGTCGAAAGGGAAAAAGGTATCTTGAAGTATCTTGAATATCTTGAACATTTTTGAACTTTCTCTCGAGCTAATCTCGAACGCTTAGTGATCTAGCGTGACCTACACTCGTAGCCTTCTTTGCACTCTTTACTACTTTCTCCAGCATTCTAACTTAAGCATCGGAGTATTCCCATCGGGCAAGTCCCCCGGGAATCCTTCACCGTCTTTTTCTCAGGTACCGTCCGTCGCCAGGTAGGAGCCAGTCAGCTGCCAGATAGGAGTGCGCGGATTGCGCACCATCATTTGGCTCCGTCTATGGGAAACGCTTCAAAAAATCCTTCCTCTAAGCTTCTACAATCTTCCTTTGAGAACTTAGCATTCATGGCCTCCTCCAGCAACGCCGGACGTGGTGCCAGCCAGAACACTTCTGGGGAGCAACCCCAACTCCCCACTGTCTGTATCGGACAGTTCATCGTCCCCCTCTCTGTGGACGGGATTCCTAGNCCAGAACACTTCTGGGGAGCAACCCCAACTCCCCACTGTCTGTATCGGACAGTTCATCGTCCCCCTCTCTGTGGACGGGATCCCCAGTTTGAACATGCCTCTCATAGTGGCACCCATGAACGCTCCACTCCCTTCCACGGTTGGATCGACCTTTGCTGGATCTTCGGTTGTGCCCCCCGTGACCAACCAGAACCAATTGGAAGACCTAGTGCAATGCATGCGAGCCATGCAAGCTCAAATGCTACAATTCCAACTTTACCAGCAACAAGTGCTGCATCAGGTCTCTCAGTACCAGTACCAGCAACAGTTTCCTTTCTTGCCTCAGGCCCAGCAACCGCTTCCCACTCAGCACTCGGCCACGAAGCAAACCAAGTCCTCCCATTGGAGCAAACGACCTCGCCGGGGAGAAGCCTTTCAGGCCCAAGATCCCTCTAAGAGCCAAGCCTCTTCCCATGGCAGAAAGGAGAGGCCAGCCACCCCCGCCTTGTTGCCTGTGGGCAGGTCGGGGGCCTCCCATCCGATCAAAGCCCGGATTGCGCACCATCAATAAGTATACTAAATAATAAATGCTTTTATTAATGATAAAAATGAAATGTAAAATTTAAAACCAAATAGAAATAAAAATATTTTCCTATTCTCTCTCATTAAATCCTATATTTAAAATATATTTTTCTTATCATTAAATTCTTATAATTAAATCCACAAAATTAATTTTAATTGTATGAAAATAATTTAAGAATTTGATCATCAACCCAACTTCCAGCCAAGAATTCACAACCTACTTTATTAATTCCTGAAAGAGAAAGCAAAAAGCCATTCAGTTCAGTTCAGATTCAGCAATCTCTGCATAATCATATTGCTTAAAATGCACTAGAAAGCAAACAAAAACAAAGAGGGAAAAGCAAATGCTTATAAATGGGGCCAACCTTTCTTGTACGCCTGAGAATGTTGCGAATAATTACTGTAAATTAATGCTTGAATAAGTCCAGGCTTGCATCAGCCGGCCTTACAGCTTAAACCCAACTTGCTTATCTCCTGATTAAGAAACCATAAACCCAATTAAAAGAAAACTTGACCAAATTCCACAGATTTGGATATTCGATCCGCCATTAAAGAATCATTCCAGCAATGACTCATTGACCCTGTGGTCTGTACTTGCCATGCAGACATAGACAGTGACGAGTTGGTGCTGAATTTCATATTTGGCGAGAAATTCAAGTCGTCACGAGTCACGAGTCATATTACTTGTTTTTGTTGGGCCGGGGCACGGGTCATGGGTCCCCACCGACACAGGCTCCGAGCCCGATACACAAAGATTCTCTTAATCTACTGCTTTTAACACCCGTTGTTTATTAATGATTTGGAGTCTAAGCAGAGCTCATTAGATTGGAGTTGGGCTAATAAAAACAAAACTTGCCACGTGGCCAGCAGTATATACTGAGGAGTGAGGACAGAGGACTGGGATCCGCTGCGGACGGTGGAGAAAACGCCTAGAGCCAGGAACGAAGATATTTTTTCATGTGAACTGCCTTAAGTGGGACCCATGTCATGGATGGTCCTGATCTTTATACACCACGTGGCGGGTAATGAGAGTAGAGATGGTATACCCTATGCACTGGAATGTTCTATGATGAAGATTCCAATCTAACGGTCGTAAGATGGGATGTAGTGAGGTCATCTGGTCGATAATTGCTATAAAATGCGAGTGGAGTGGTGAGTCATCCCATCCCATCCCATCACCACCACCACCTTTGCCTTACTCGTATCATCTTCTGATCAGCTCTCTGCGCTGTCTGCTCGGAACTTGGAAAGAGAGAAACATCTCTAGAAATCTGTCTCTAGTCTGTACCCTGTGTTTGATTTCTTCTGGGTATGATTGGAAGTGCTCGCCAAACCAGTAGAGGGCTAATGGTTTGGAGTTTGTTGTGTATATCAGGAGTTTCTGGGATCACGGCCATGGACGATGGTTTCGACAACGCCATCTTGTTGAACCACGCTTCCATTGCTGATTATTCGTCATACCCGTCTGCGTGCTTGATTAGAGTAACTGGGTACTCGAAACTTGAGTCCGTTACTTTCAAGAAGGCCTCTCCCAAACCCCCCGCCGCTGCCGCTGCTACTTCTGGCAACAAAGAATACGCATGATCTCCTTTTTACTTCTCTCCTCTTCCTCTGTTTGTTAACTCCTCCTGCATTTCCTTTCCTTGCCTGTTCTAATAAGGAATTTTGGGTCATTTTCCTATCACTATGCTGACATCGTCACCGCCCCGGTTTTCTTATTCGACAACGATGGCAACCGTGAATGGGGTTGCTGCTTCTTTAACTGTCTCCGCCACTCCCCACCAAAGCAATTGTGGAGATCGTCGTTCTCTCAGGTAAAATAAAACAAAGAAACTGAAATTCTTTTCTGGGTATTTGGTTTTCTCTGTTTTCTGTCAATTACGTTTGCTTGTGCGTGCGTGTGTGTGTTCTTCTTCTGTTTGGGTTTATGTTTCTGCAAGTGGATTTCTTGTTTATTAGTAGAGGTCGGACAAGGTTTTTTTGTGCTACCCCCCTTTCTTCTTACGATCAGGTATGATCGTCGATGGAATGGGAAGCAGACGCACAGGAGCCTTTCCCTGCTGGCTGCTGCCGCTACCCCTTTTAGCAGTCAGACGAGGGCTCATTCGTCCCGCTCTGATTTTTACCTTGAGGTTGGTTTCAATTCCCCCCAACCCATCATTACAAATGCCGATATCGCGATTCCACACTATCATACAATTGCATTCATCCATCCTAAGACCAGAATCAGAATCAGAATCTCGCTCGGTGACGATGACACGATACGCCAATCGAGAATTTGGGAGCTAATCGCGGATCCTTCCTCTATTTTTGTTTGATTTGCTTGACTCTTTTCTGCCCATCATCTCTGATTCCTTGCCTGCCTGTGTAAAACTGCTACAGGTCCTCAAGGCCGCCAGAGAAAAGTTTACCCAGGAAATCTCCTTCCAGTCCAAGGACAAAGACGTTTCTATTGCTAAGGTATAATCCCTCTGATCTCTGTCTCTCTCTCTTGACGTTGGTAATTTTCTGCTCTGGGGACCACTTTCTTTTTTCTAATTGTTCTTGTAATTTTCACTCACAAGTTGTGGCCTATATACACTTGCATTGTTGCTACTGGCTTTTCTTGATTCTAATATCTTCTTGCATTTTGAATAATTCACTGGAAAAAGAAACCCACATTTTTTTAATCCTCTTCTTATGATGATTGCTCAAAGCTTTGATTTTCCACTGAAGATTGTGATTTGCTTCCAAGCAAAGCTAAATCAAGGTTTCCATAGAATATAGATTCCTGATAGGTCATTACCTTGGGTGTTTTTTTATGTGTTATAATAAAGTTTTGAAGGAACTTTGGATTTTCAGATTTTAATTTGAGAACATTGTGCTTGCTGCCTATGCATATTTATGCACTGAATTCCATGTACATTGCTTTAGGCTTTACTCTATGTTGCTGCTGAAGATGAAGCATTTATGGCTTTTAACCGAGAGAAGGATGCACGCTCATTCATGAATGAAAGAAGTGATGCCCCGGTCTCATTTGAGACAAATGAGTGGGATTGCTTGGAAGCTGTTCCTTTGGCTGGTAGGAGCATATATGAGTGGTTGAATGAGCTTGATTGTATTGCCAAAGAAGTGGAAGCAGAGTTGGTTTCGAGAGATATTGGTTGTCATTTGGTGGAAGTTTTGGAGGCAGTGAATGTGGTTCTTTTTGAATCACGAGGATTTAAAAGGTTTCCTGTGCTTCACGACCCAAAGTATTCTTACTTGCACACAGTGCTAAGCTCTGGATGCGGCAGCGGTAAAGACTTATCCTATCTTTGTTTACATGTCAGCATCTAGTTTACTTATCTGTGCTATTTTTGTTCAACCCTTTCCAGGGCAATTCAATGATCTCTTGTAGGGAATTCCATGAGTCTCTTTTGAACTTGTCTGTATTATTGTTCCATCAAGTGAACAAATGACACTATTTGACATTATAATTACCTATTGGCAGCAATTTTGCTTAGTGTTATCTATATTGAAGTTTGTCGAAGACTTGGTGTGACTATTGTCGGTTCTCGAGTTGGGGAAGATTTTTTGATTTGGCCCCAAACGGGGAACCCTGAGGTGTGCTTATTTTGCAAACTCTTCTTTATGCATCCCTACTCATCCTGTGCTTTGTTCTTTTGGTAGACTATTAGTTTATTTCTGCATTAGTCCCACTTTCATCCCTTCATGGCTAGTCTATTCAGTTGATTCCATGCTAGTCTATCAAGCCAGACAAACAGTTAATCATCCTTTTATCTCTTTTCTTTCTACCAGGAGCTTTTCAAGGTTTCATCAGGACATAGTATGTTTGCCACAGTTAATGGAAGATGTGTGGAGGATCCTAGATCAAGAGCTTCTGACTTGACCAGTAATTCACTTTTAGGACTTGATATTGCAACCAATAGAGACATCATTGGAATAGCTTTGGCTAATTTGATTGTAAGTTAAAAGTCATGTTGTCCCTGTTAGTATTATTTTAAGGATATTATTTTTTGCTTTTTCTTTTTTCATTCAGTCATTTAAGGTCAGCTTCATTCTTTCCTTTCCCCATTTGCAGAGGCTTCACTGGAAACGTGCCTCAAAGATGAACCATGGATTGATGCTGACTTCTCCACTCAGACCTGTTCATGACAGGAATGAAAAATCAGGCAAGACTGATAGTTCAAAGGTCCCTTTGTTGCGGCCTCAAGATTTGAGGTAATTATTCGCATGCCCTATGCAAGAATTGAAAGAGACAAATTCATTATAAATGTTGTCTCCTTGGGCTTATGTAAGCAGATAATGTTTTACCAAATTCACGAAAGTTGAAAAAAATAGATCAACGTGAAATAGATTTCTATTGTGCTTCAAGTCTGCAGGGATGCATTGTTGTTTCACTTATTATGTAGTGTTTAGACACCTGAGTCGGTTTATGAGTCCTGGGATCGTGCGCTCATCTTTCTCTGCTCTAACAAGTTTGTGACATGGACTCTTCTGTATGGGTTAACTATCCATGTTGGATTGCATCTTTAGTGATGTCTCTGGATTTCTTTTCTTTTTTCTCCTCTTGCCTGTTTGGCATCTACCTTACAGAATTAGTTTTGTGATCTACTATTAATACTTTTGAAGTGGTGTAAAAAGAGTTTCTACTCTTATTTATGCCATTTTCTAGAGTTTTCTGAATGAGTTTGCATGATATTCATTTTCACCAAATGGCTTCTTTTTCCCTAGAACCCCAGATCCATGTTTTTCATTTTGCCTGGTCAGAATCACTTGGGCATTAGATTCCAAATGCTTCTACAGAATCTGTTCCTGATGCCATTGCAGCCCCCCCCCCCCAAAAAAAAAAGAGGGATAAATGAAATAAGTAAAAAAGTATCCGACATCAGCTTCCAATTCAACAATTCATTGTTTGCTTTTCTGACTAAAATGTAATTTAAAAGTGTGGCCAAATGGATTATTTTTTCCCAATATTATTTTTATGTACATGGTAATTTTTCTTCAAGCAGGTGCAGGTCCTCCCAAAGTTTTCCTTGTGGAGAACATTATTAATATATTCCACCATTATATTGAATAAGAAATTTCATAATATAGTTTTCTTTAGGAAGACTTCTATATTTGCTATTTTCTAAATCAAAAGAAAGTAAGGAAAAAGTAATTCCCTTTTGGTAGATAAGCTGTGGCTATGATCTGGTTCAAGGATTTGCCTTTACTTCTGCGCCACCAGGATCAACTCCATATAGGCAAGGAGAGAACAAAGATTGCTTAATTTAAATTGCAGTGAACGGGAGATCCCCAGGGCAGAAAAATTTTGCACATGCCATGTCACTTAAAGTTTAGGGAACCTCCCTGGAAATAAGGCTTTGTTTGGTTCTATGGGTGTTTATTGAAAAAATGCTGCCACATCAGCACCAGTGTTGGCGTTTATTGTATATGAAGCAAAATGAAACAACTGTTTGGTTTCACCATGGTAGAAAACTGAAATATTTTGATTTTTGTGTATGGGGCATTTGGGGAAACGTCAAATTCTTGCTTTCCCCCAATGCCCCAGTGTTTCTTGTATCCTATCTTACCTGGATAAGACAACTAGATAGCTGGACATGGTATCTGATATGAAATTTAGTGTATATGACACGATACAGCACCCTTGTACAGGTATCCGGGTTATATGGGATGTATGAAAGATCTTAAGTTCAGATTTTCATAAGTATGCCATTGTACAGGATTATTATCTGTCAATGTTCAGTAGTGGATTTTTGGATGAACAAGATGCTATGCGTTGATCAAATAAAGAGAAAATGGGGGCATGTTGGCACTGTTTATGCCAACTGGCTATAATAGCCTCTTGTACGAGGAATTGGGATTTGTTCTTCACAGAGCGCACCTCACACGGACCTCACAGCCACATCCGATCCTGTATGGGAACATCTCCCATGAATAATAAATACAAGCACGGGAGATGTTCCATATGTGAGGCGCGTTCTGTGAGATCAGATCCGGACTCTTGTACATGTAACTTCTATCACTGCTTAGCTGGATGGTGTTGACTTGGTAAACTGGTATTCTGATTATGGATCATGGTCAAAGTTTTGGCTTTAGACATGATACACTGCAAACTGGTCAATAATTGCCTCTGGGTTGAACTATTCTTCCCTTGCTGTGTAGATATAGCTGGGTGAAGTGACCTGGTGTCTCTGTGACTAGTTACTTTGTCTGCTAGTGTTATGTTGATACCGGAAGGACTGCACTATGTTCCGGCTTCTTGTCAAAGGAATCCAAGCAGTGGCCCACGGGAATGGTGGGCACCATCTTCAGCTGAAGTCTTTGCCTTTTCCTTCCCGTGTCCAAGTTTAGCATCCCAATGACCTGAAATTTTGGGAAGGTTAAATGCTGGATCATTTAAATGCTTGGGATGCCATATCTGGATTCTCTTTTTCACTTGAATTTTAAAAGCATATTTTAGTTATCTTCTATTATTCAGTCTATTTATGTCTCTTGAAAAAGGTTTCTTTTCCCCTTATAGAGTGTTCAATTTATGGTTGTGCAGGCTGGCTATAATGGCATCAGAGAAGTTGTTGATTCTTCAACCACATAACTGGGCATTGAGGAGAGACCATGGAATGCTTTTATACTACAGCAGGTTCAGACTTATCTTACCTCCATGCAGTAGTCATTGTAATTGGTTCTTCTGTATTTGAAGTATTGAGTGAATGTTCCTAAGGTTTAAACTTGTAATGAATTGTGATTGATACAGAGATTATGGAGAGGCAGTCCAAGAGCTTAGCATTTGCATGGCATTTGCACCTGTAGAGGAAGCAGAAGTTCTGGAACCATTTGTTGAGAAATTGCATTTGTTGCGGCTTGAATCATCCTGGAAATCTTTGGAGCACACTGACCGAATGGCAGTTCCTTGACTTGTTTGTACAGAGCCTTTTTTGGACCCTTCTTTTCAACTCTTCTCATGTATGTCAGAACTTAGAAAAGAAAGTTGGGGAACAAAAAGTCAGCAGTACTGCTTTTTTGTAATATTTGTTGTTTTTAGCCAGTGATTCTCCTTGTTCTATTGTTCATTTGTGGTCTGTGGGTGAAAACCAGCTGCTTTAAATAAATATATAGAGATCCTGTAGACAAGCAGAAAACAACTTCAGACCCAATTTGGGCGGCCAAATTTTAGATACCCAGTGCCATTGGTTGAATCTAGACACATCTCAGGTAGATTGAAGATATCCAGGAGAGAGAGCGCCTGGAATCCCTATAAAAATATCGGAAAGTATGGACAGGCCCAATGCAGATTTATAAACATTTAAAATGTTAAAAACTCTATTCTATATACCAATGTCTGCCCTTGAATTGGCATCAGTTTCAAGTTGGAACTTATTTCAATTATAATTTGGGCCTAAAAAATCCAAACATTGGGTTGAACCGTTATTATCCCTACACAAACCTCCTCTGAAGTTTCTGACAATCATAAAAATCTTTCTTTATTTTAACAAATACCTTATACCTTAAACCTTTGAGAAATTCGACAAAAACTTTTATTTTATCACTTTTTCGGAAAATGTATCAATTTCTTCTAAATACTTATTTTACTCTTTTATAAATTATTTTATATATAAAAGTATTGAAATAACTCTTTTAATTTTATAAAAACGTTAAAAGATGACTGTTAAAAAATATTTTTATTAAATTAAAATAATATATAAAATGGTAGAATGGATATTTAGAAAAACTGGTGCAAGGTGACGAAAGAGAGGTTTTTATTAAATTTTTCAAAATTGAGGAGAGGTATTTGTTAAAACGAAATTATAAGAAAGTTTTTTATGATTGTAAGAAATCCGAAGACAATTACTAGAGGGAAGTGGAAGTGTGTGGATGCCCGTGGCTAGTCAATTCGTTTTTAAAGCGCGCTCTGTTGACGGGTGTGGTAAATATTCGCTCTGTGCACACGGTTGTACCAATTGGGCCAAATTCCAAGGGGAATGTATCTCTTATCTTAGATTCTAGCTTATCACTTGATAGGGCGATAAGTTTTAGAATTTTTGGTTGAGTGAATGTGAAGGGTCCCCATGAAAGCTGATGGGCATCTTGCCATCTTCATCTCTTTATTATCAAGTGGGCTCTCTGCTGGTTCTAAGTTCTGACCTCATTTATCTGCTAAAAGCTAAAGTTGGGATTTTTTCTCAAAACCGGGCATCTGTTTTTGGGGGGATAATCCGGCCGCTTGGTATCTGCAGAGGTCAAAGCAGTTCTTACCCAGTAATCTACCACTGGTTTTTTTCATGATCCGACTCTTAAATCTATGTTGAATTCTTGTTGATCAATGCAATCTGATGTAACCGTTTCTGTTCATGTATCATTTTTTTGTGATGCGTTAATTTTTTGGTTGAGGATCTCGTCATCTCATCTACTCCCAAGTGGTCTGTGACTCAGAGGCTGAAGTAGAGTTTCCTGGTGGCGAGCTGCCTGTGTGTTGCAATGATGGCGAGCTGCCTGTGAGTGTTGCATGGTGGTGAACTGCCTAGTGGTGAGCTGCCTGTGAGTGCTGCATGATGGCGAACTGCCTAGTGGCGAGCTGCCTAGTGGCAAGCTACCTGGTGCCGAGCTGCTTGGAGGTAAGCTACCTTGATGAGTCGCCTGGTGGTGAGCTACCTTGATGGGCTGCCTAGTCGTGAGCTACCTTGATGAGCTGCCTGGTGGTGAGCTACCTTGATGGGCTGCCTGGAGGTGAGCTACCTTGATGGGCTGCCTGGAGGTGAGCTACCTGGTGGCGAACTGCCTTGTGGTGAGCTACCTTGATGAGTTGCTTGTTGGTGAAACCCGACTACTCCCTACAAGAGGTGATCTGGCTACCAGCAGCAACGGGAACTGAACCAGCTACTTCTTGCTGGAGATGATCAGCTCATCTCTGTAGACAGCGGGGACTGAGGGACCTGCACGAACTGAATCAGAGAACCCGGGGGTGTTTACCAGGCAAGGTCACTCCGATGGCTAAGTTAACACTTGGTGGAGAGCTGAGAATGATATTAGAGAATGGGAGAGCTAGAGAGCAGAGATTACCATCCTCTTTTTTTTTTTTTGCCTCCCCTCGCCCCTTAGGAGTGAGGTTTTTATATACTGGAGTCCTTGTGGGTTAGGTGGAGCAGTTCTTGGATTCCCACCGTGATGGGATTTGATTTCGTGTTAGGTGGGGATAAAGCCACCAACTGGTAAGGTTGCCCATTTCCGCCTGACTCGGGGAGTGGGTGAGCTAATATAGCCTTTACAAGTCACAATCCCGTAAAATGTGGGGTACGGTGGTGAGCTCCTCAAGGTTGTCAGGTTGGCGCCTATGTCAGGCCGCTAGGTTGGTGCCTGGGCCAGGCCGCCAGCTTGTGCCAGGTCCAGGTTGCACCAGGGCCAGGCTGCCAGCTCGTCTCAGGGCTAGGTCGCGCCAGGGCCAGGCTGCTAGCTCGTGCCAGGGTCAGGTTGCGCCAGGGCCAGGCTGCTAGCTCGTGCCAGGGCCAGGTTGCCAGCTCGCGCCTGTGCCAGGCTTCCTGGTGGGACACCATTAACTTAGCAAAGGCAAGTTGTCGTCCGAGTGTCACCTAGTTGTTCTGAGGTGCCAGGCTACATGAGGGTGAGCTGCCTGTGGTGAGCTTCCTAGTGGCGAGCTAGAACTGTCTAATTGTCAAGAGGCTGCACTTAGTTGTCATGAGGTGCCAGGTGTCACAATGTCATTGGAGGGCCAAATCCGCCCTCGTCACAATCCAACCTCTTTTTGCAAGCTTAGAATTTGGATGTTTGCTTTCTCATTGGCCTCCTAGTCAAGTCTGCCTGCAACTGCAAGTGTTAATTACACAATGGCATGGCTTATGGGCTCCAAATTTATAAAGCCAAACTGGTGCCCTCATTTGGAGTTTGTCAATGCCGAGTTGGCCTGGTGATGAATTCATCAAAACTCTTTATCATGGCTTCATCAGCTCAGGCGGTCTTTGAAACTAATGATGAATTCATAAAAGATTCAATGCTTGTGGATTCCACTTTATTATTGTCTTTGTTTTGACTATCTTTATTGTGGCGTTTGATAACTCTTGAGTAGTTGAGGATTGAGATAGGGAGGCTAAAAGCAAAATGTGGAAAGATCTCAAATTTAAAAATGGCTATTCAGCATATCTGCTTACTTGTGAAATAATGAACTATGCAGAGGAATTGAAATTAATGAAAGAATATCACATATCAATAATATCTCTGAATTTGAATTAGTTTTAGGATTCTTGGTCCCACAGTGAATATCTGTGATGACCACATTGGAGGCTCCTTCCCTTTATATGGAATCTGTTGTGTCTTGATGCTCATGAGAATCAATTTCGTCGAGTTGTGAGTCCTCTAATCCACATGTCTTTGTTGGGGTCTGTAACAAGCCAACATCCATCCACTTGCACCAGTGGCCCAGTGCCTCGATTTTGAGCACACTGATTCCTCTATCTTACACCTTGTATCGATCAAATGGTGATTGTATGGCACGAGAACCAACTTTTTCTGGTTTTTTCATGGTGGCCGTTGCCTTTCAAATTACAAGTTGATTGACCCTCCGATTCCAAACTCATTAACCATTAATGGCCTCTGTGAAACATTTTCTTTTCTTTTGAATGCTTGACAAGTTCATACTCTCTCCTGACATGCCTGCTCTGTGAACTTGAACTCTGCTACGTTGCTGTTTCGAACTCC